TGCTTGGCTGGAGGTGTGGCTGTGGAAATGCTCACAATGAACACTGTCATCCCACCGCATCCCTCAGAGTTGACGAAGGAGGATCCCACCACCACTGCCATCCTCATGATAAGTAAACAGCTGGAACCTTTGAGAGGGGCTAGGAAAGACCCTGTCCCTCTCTGGCTTGTTCTAGCAGTTTCCTGGCTGGTCCCTCTCTTGTCTCCCTGCAGTTCCTTTTTCCTGCCAGAGATAGAAGAAAGTCCATAGGACAAACCTGCTTCTTCCAGCAACTCCAAAGTGGAGGACTTCCCTTTGAGATTCACCATGGGCTTCTTTTTAAGGTATGCCGAGCTTAATCTGCCATGTTAGAAACGTTTGAAGCTGCTGTCCTTTGAGTGAACCAGACACCCGTTCCCCTACCTTATGGGGCCTCTTTCTATGGTTATGTGGAGTCTACTACTGCTGTTCATGGCTTAGTTGAGGAATGCACACTGAAAGAGGGTTTATTGCTTGCAAAACACAGCTGCACTGCCTCAAATTGGATGGGGGAAAAACGGGGTAATTTATTACACTCCTAAATTTGCAAGAATATATCCATAAATTATCCCCCCTCCCACTTTCTGAAGTTGAGGAAAGGAAGCGGAAAGGGTTGTTTGCCATATACTTATTAGTTTTATAATTTATGATTATTATGCCCTGCTGCAAACACACAGACCAATAAAAACCCAAATCTATTAAAACAACTGCTCCGCTTTCTCTGAGCCACTGAGGGATGCCATTCCAAAGGAGTTGGGGATAAATTACTAAAGGCAATATACCTGCCCCTGATGTTACAGAAGGGTTGTTAGCAAACATGGGAGAGGGTTTTTTTTTCCCTTTTAGAAGTAACAAATGAAAATGTAAGTGGGTTGAGTTCAGGATTCTGCAAAGAGTGGAGAGTTGTGAACTCAGAAACAATCAATAAAATGATAGTCCTGATCCAAAAACAAAAGTAGTATTCCACCGCCAAGAGAACAGGCCTGCAAATTTAAAGCAAAAATCTAGAGAGCAAGAGATGGAGCCAGAGATCCATCTAGTCTTACAATCTCCAGGAAGCCTAGTCTTATTGCTCATTTGCTGATGCCTGCTATACAAACATATACTGCCACTGAACACACAGGTTCCATTTAGCTTTTATACTCTGTAGTAGCTGATAGATCTTTCTCCCTTTAAAATCCAGTGGTCTTACACTTTACCTTACCTTGTGACAGTAAGTCCCATGAGTAAATTGTGCATTTTGTGAAGCCTATACATTCCAAGAGCCAGTGTAGTTAGAGCATTGAACTAGGATTTTGGGGACCAGGGTTTGAATCCCCGCTTGGCCATGGAAATCCACTGGGCAAATCCTGCTCTCTAAGCCTCAGACAAAGGCAATGGCAACCCTTTTCTAAACAAATCTTGCCAAGAAAACCCTGTAATAGGGTCCCCTTAAGATTGCCGTAAACTGGAAATGTATTCCCCCAATGGGGATTAAAATCCTGGTCTCCCACAGTCCTAGTTCAGCACTTAAACCACACTGGCTCTCAGTTGCAAGCCTCTGAGAAATGTTGTTATATGAAGCAATTTATGAGTACTCAAATTAAATAAGAGATCTTTTCTGAACCCACCACAAACCAATTCCATCAGATGGTCCTGAGTAATATTAATGGTGAGGAAGAAGAAAAAAAATTATTTGTGTACTTCCTCCACATTCAATCTTTCTGTACATGCTCTCTGCATAAATCAGTACCATTTTATAAACCTGTCATAACTCACTTGAACCATTTTTTCTTTCTTTAAAAAATTATAATCAAGCACTTTGACACCTCTCCTGGAGAAAGAGGTGCTCCAAGCCAGCCTTGCAAATAAATCTACAAAAGGTATAGCCACACACAAAAGCTTGGTAGATAAAAGGAATGCTGTAGATGTACCGTATCTTGATTTCAGTGAGGCCTCTGACAAGGTCCCCCCATTATATTCTTGCAAACAAGATAGTAAAATGTGGGCTAGACAATGCTACTGTGAGGTAGATCTGTAGTTGATTGACTGACCAAACCCAAAGGGTACTCACCAATGGCTCCTCTTCATCCTGGAGAGAAATGACCACTGGGGTGCCACAGGGTTCTGTCTTGGGCCCAGTTTGCTATTCAACATCTTTATCATTGACTTGGATGAAGGAATAGAAGGCATGCTTATCCAATTTTCAGATGACACCAAATTAGGAGGGGTAGCTAATACCCCAGAGGACAGGATCAGAATTCAAAATGACCTTAATAGATTAGAAAGATGGACCAAAACTAATAAAATGAATTTCAAAAGGGAGAAATGTAAAGGCATATAGGCAGAAAAAATGAAATACACAGACACAGGATGGGGGACATCTGGCTTGAGAACAGTACATGTGAAAGGGATCTAGGAGTCCTAGTAGGCCACAAATTGAACATGAGTCAACAGTGTGATGCGGCAGCCAAATGGCTAAAAACCCCAATGAAATTCAACAGAAGTAGTGTCTTACCTCAAGGGAAGTAATAGTGCTACTCTATTCTCCTTTGGTCAGGCCTCACCTGGAATACTGTGTCCAGTTCTGGGCATCACAATTCAAGAAGGATGTTGACAAGCTGAAGCGTGTCCAGAGGAGGGTGACTAAAATGGTGAAGGGTTTGGAAACCATAAAGCCCTATGAGGAGAGGCTTCTGGAGCTGGGTATGTTTTGTCTGGAGAAGATAAGGTGTGACATGATAGCTATGTTTAAATCTTTGAAGGGACGTCATATTGAGGATGGAACAAGCTTATTTTCTGATGCTCTAAAGACTAGCACATGGAGCAGTGGATTCAAGCTACAGGAAAAGAGATTCCACCTCAACATTAAGACGATCCTGATGGTAATAACTGTTCAACAGTGGGATATGTTGCTGCCTTGGGTGTGGGGGAGTCTCCTTCTTTGGAGGTTTTTAAACAAAGGCTGGATGGCTATCTGTCACAGGGAGGGCTTTGATGGTGTCTTACTGCATGGCAGAATGGGGTTGGACTGGATGGCCCTTGGGGTCTTTTCCCACTCTGATTTTATGATTCAAAAACCTGTATTGGATAGTTAGCTGACAAGGCACATTGACGGTCAGAAAAGGAAAAGGGGACGGGGGAGAATGAAACATTTTTCCTGTAGTTTACACCAGCCTTTTTCCTACTCACTTTGTGGACAACATATATTCACCCTAGATGACTGTTTATAAGCCTGCTCTCTGAACTTGTCCAGAAAGAGTTTCCCTCTACAGAGGAAGCTGGTGCACTTGGCAGGTGACACTTCACCCATGGCACCACAAACAAGCTGTGGCTTCCTTGGGACAATTTCCAGGGGCCTTTCAAAGGAGCTGGGGGGAAGAGGGGAAAGCCAGTGTCAGAACCAGTGAACTCTAACCCCAATTCACATTAGTCTCCATGAAGTGAAAACAAAAGATTTTTATTGCAGACATTAGAACAGAAGTTACCAGCATGGCGTTTAGGTCAGATCTAACAGCTTCCACCTACTACTATAATATAAAAGTACAACTATTACAACTCCACTCACCAACTATTTGGCGCGCAAACTATATTCCCACAGCAAAAGCCTAACACAGTCATTCCAAAACTTTGGTCCTCCAAGTGTTTTGGACTTCAACTCCCAGAAACCCCGGCTAGCACAGCCAACAGTCAGGAATTCTCGGAGCTGAAATCCAAAACATCTGGAGGACCAAAGTTTGGGAATCACTGGCCTAACGGTTCCCTTATCGCCCTCCCAACCCCCTGCATAGCGTTCCTTAGCTCTACAACTCTACAGAAAATCAAATTTCTCCTCCACATTCCTAAGCTCCTCTTCAAGAGCAGACTCCACTACCAAGCAATTTAACCCATGATGGTACATATCTTTGCCCAGACTCATCCTCCCCAGAAATGCAATCAGTATGACAAAACCCACAATGGATTTCCTCCCCAACAACACAACCAACAATAACATGCCCCCCAACAATACAACCAACATGACAGAGTACACTTGTCCCTCCACGTTCTCTGGGGTTAGGAGCACAGAACCCCCGTAAATGTGGGAAAACTGCAAATAACAAAGACACTATGTTTTGACCTGAGAGAACACCTCTCTAGGAATCTCTAGGTCCTCCAATGCAACTTTGTGGTCAACATTTGCCAGATATTGAGCACAGAATTGTGCTGGAGGAGCTACAGAAGTCTAGTGGAGTGTTCTCTCTAGGAATCTCTAGGTCCTTCAGTGTGACTTTTGGTTAAAGTTGACCATAGAGTTGCGCTGGAGGACCTAGATCTTCCTAGAGGGAACATATTAATAAAATCCATGAATAATCAAATTGGTAAAAGTCAAAGCCACAAACGTGGAGGGATGAGTGTACAACCATGGATTCTGACAGCAGGCTACTCCTTCTCCAGGTTGTATGGGGCCAGAACTATCCTTTCATATGAAGGAATCAGTTTCTATAGCATCAATAATCAGTCAGTGACTGATTATTGTTATTAGGCAGCATCTACACATCACCTCAGGTGGCAGATCGTGCGAGGGGGCTACCTTGGGCTACTTTTGTGACCAAGCGTCACAAAGCCGTTTGTGACCATACCAAGTGTGGTGGAAGATCATGTCCTGGGAATATAATATGCTGCTCTCTGGCTAGAGTCTGTATACTGAGGGACAGGTGGGATGGCCTTTTCCTTTGCCTCAGTCTTCTGTGCACGTTCTGCCCCAAAGCTAGGAAGGTGGTTACTTTTTAAAATAATTAACTATAGTTGTAAACCTGAAGTTATTAGCATTATAATTACTTCCCCATTTTCCAAAAGCAGCTAACTTTTACCGTGGTAACTTTTGTTGTTGTTGTTGTTGTTGTTGTTGTTGCTGTGTGCTTTGAAGCCATTTCTGACTTATGCTGACACTAAGGTGGACCTATCACAAGGGTTTCTGTGGCTGAGAGGGTGTGACTTGTCTAAGGTCACCCAGTGGGCTTCCATATCTGAGCAGGGAATCGAACTCCGATCACCAGAATCCTAGTTCTACGTTCAAACCACTACACCACTCTGGCTCTCAAAAGTAACTATAAAATAATGAAGTTCTTTTAGCTATTCTTTTTAAAAACCTGACTGCTACAAGCTGTTAACCAGTGGTACAAAACTCACTGTGCTCCCATCCACCATGTTGTAATCTCAGCAACCACAATGATGTAAAGCACACACCAGCACTTGAACAGTGTAATATTCCCCCTCCACCATTTAATGAGACCAAATTCCCACAATTAGAAAAAAGCAACAAATGTGACATTAACACTGCAGATGGAGTGAAGTGACCCCTTACTGAGTTACAATTGCATTTTGATCCCTTCATCATAGAGGAGGGGAAAGGAAGGGATTAGTTACAAGTAACTAAGGGACTGTACAGAAGGGCAGGAAAAGGTGATATAAAGCTGCCTTTTCCCTAAGCTGCAGCAACTGCACCGCCTGCCCCAAGGATGCCCTAAATGGGGATGGAGCAACCACACTGGGGGGCAGTCAATGTGGCTTTTCCAAGGCCATATTGAAGCCCCGCCAACCGCACCGCTGGCCCCAAGGATGCCACGAAGGAAGACAGAGAAATTGCACGGGGCTGGCAGCGATTGCTTTAATTTTTTCCCCGTTCTCTCAAATGTGTGCGCATGTATGCAGGAACACATCCCTGCACACCCACGCACTTGTGCAGAACATGTCATAGGCTGGTGTACAGTCTGTCACTCTCTGTGTACAAAAGTGACTGAAGTTTGGCATCCCTGTGCACCTGCAAGGAATATGTCATAGGGTGGTATACAGTCTGTCATTTTGCCTGTACAAAGGTGACTGATGTTCAGCATCCCTGCACACCTGTGCAGGACCTGTCATACACCCACAGATCATGCAAGGATTCACTGACCTCAGCTTCCCCCAAGTAGTGGGTGCCATAGACAGGTGCCACTATCTGATTGTGCCACCCTTGGGGCGAAGGAACGAGTTTCTCTGAAAAGACACCTATTCTGTCATCTTCCACAAAACACATCCCACACAGATCAGGGGGGAGGGGAGAGGTACATGCAAGGGAGGTTTGTGTGGACAGACTGGATACATGAAGTTGGTAGTCATGCAAGGGACATAGTCAACAGGACACACAGACAAACATTACTCCAGGAGCCCCCCCTCCAGCATGCCAAGAAGTGGTGTGCGGGTCTTATGCACACTTGCACACTTGCACAGAAGAGGTCACAAAAGCCTCTTTCAAGTAAACTACTGTGCATTCTGACAGCAAACATACATGCAATGGAATGTATTTATTATCATAATAGAGAGCAGTTGCTAGGGCACATGGGTAGGGTTACAATTAGGGTTAGAGTTAGGTTAGGGTTAGGGTTCTAAAATAAAACCTGCAGTGGTGCATCCACACCTGGAACCATAGGGCGCTTTAAATTAAAGCCTGCATCGTAGGGCACATGCTCTAGATCGCCGACTCAATTTCTGCCACACGTTTTATCCAGCCTTTTAAAATCCCTGGTGCCCTTTTTCTGACGCACCAATGTCGCTGCATATATATGCACATGCGAAGATGTGCATCTTTTTGGAAGAAGCAGGAAAAAGCTGCTCCTTTATAGAGCAGCTTTTTCCAGCATGCGGCGCCTAGAGGGCGCTTTCCTGCTGGCTTTTAGGCGTATGTCATCTAAACGCCATGCCTCCAAGTCAGCCTGAAAGCACCTCTTTTTGCCCATCTGTACAGCTCCTAAGACCTAAGTGAACCAACTCCATGCTTTGATCTGTCCTGTTTAGACTGTCTCTTGTTGAGGAGGTAAAGAGAATTTTCTTAAGGGACTTTGTCCTTTCCAAGACAAGATGGCATTGGATGGTGGCTTGGAACAGATGGGATTTTTTAAGATGGGGAGGTCAGAAGTTCAAGGGACCTGCCTACAGGTGAATGCTGGGACAAAGTTACTGCCACAGCTGTAATTCTGGGGGGGAAAAGGTTAACATGGCAGATTTGTAGCAAATAGCAGCTAATAAATAGTGTCTGTAAAACAGATGGGGAAGTGGCTGGAAGAAACTCTCTCTGTGTGTATCTGTGTCTATGTGCGCACAGGGGGTGAGATTTCTGTGTAGAAGCACTCATTATTTACGCAGAGATGAGGATATTTCAAGGAAAATGGCACTGATCCGCAAGTGACAAGGTACCTCTTGGCCGCGCAGGGTGCAGGGAAATTGCAGGCCAACTGACAGCTTGTTAATGTAGAGTTGCTATTTCCCTGAAATACAGCATGTTGGTAGTTTTCTTGAAAAGTACAGGACGGGCATGTTTATTAGCTGTGAATCACACAGAAATTGCAGGCAAGAGACAGCGCAAACAAAAGAGGGCAGGTATGGGGATGTTTCTCCCAGCTCATGGCACTGCTGCTGCCCTTTGGTGTGCATGATGGAGAGGGAGGGCAGAAAGGAGCAGGTTTAAACACAAGGGCCAGACATTACAAAAGAGACCACAACACCATCCAGAGTTTTAGGATGAGGGTCAAGGCCTATCCTTTACACTCTTAAATGTAGGGAACAGAGGCCTGTGGAGATGCTGATATACTTTAGATTGTGTCCATTTAAGATGTAACAATAACTCTGTGAAGGAGATGTTAGTTTTGGATTGGTTCAAACAAGGGTCAGATGTCCACTCAACCAAGATGCTTAGTGAGCACAGACCTTGGACTAGCTCTAATGACATCTCTGCATTCATCACTAAGGCTGGTGTATTTTCACAGTTCACACAAAAGGGCATCAAACCCATTTTGAATGCTGTGAACAGCTGTGCAAACAAATTGCACAACAGTCTGGCATGCCCTTTGTACAATAGATTGTGGAGTAGAAATTGTGCAGTGGAACAACTTTGTGCAAGAGATTGTGGAGTGGAAGAGTTCACACCATCTCTTGTACAATTGTGTTGATCACTTGTGCAACTGCTTTGAGGACCCGTCTTGGCAGGAGAAGGCTTGCATATCCTGAAATCGGTCCACAGCATGTCGAGAAGATTCAGTGGTTGGTAGCGAGGGTGCCAGATTGGTCTGAAGGTACCAAAATCCAGTACTTATGAGATATTGAGAACAGAGATCATAGAGTGGGCACAGTCAAGACTGTAGCTTTTACAGATATCTTCAGTGCACAAGTTAAGCAAATAGGGTGATAAAACGCAGCCTTGCCAGATGCCCTTGCCAATTGGATACCATTGCATTTTTCTGTATTCTGTCCTGAGTACAGGTTATGTATCAGGACAGTCAAACAAGCACCATTAGACACAGAGGAAGGAGGTGTGAAAACTGGAGGGAGGAACAGCAATACAATAGTTTAAGATATGCCGATGACACCATACTACCAGCAGAAAACAGAAAAGATTTGGGACAGTTACTGAAGAAAGTCAAGGAAGAAAGTGCAAAGGCAGGTTTTCAGCTGAAAACAAAACAAAGGAAAATAAAGACCACTAATGATTTATATAACTTTAGAGTAGACAATGAAGGCATTTAAATAGTTCAAGATTTCCCATACTTTGGCTCAGTCATTAATGAGAATGGAGACTTCAGTCAAGAAATCATAAGAAGGCTAGGACTTGGAAGGGCATCTATGAAGGAATTAGACAAGATCCTAAAGTACAAAAATATATAATTAGATACTAAAGTTAGGATTGTCCATGACATCGTATTCCCAGTTTCTATATATGATTGTGAAAGCTGGACAGTGAAGAAAGCTGATAGGAAGAAAATTAACTTGTTTGAAATGTGGTGCTGAGGAAGAATTCTATGGATACCATGGACTGGTAAAAAAAAGACAAATAAATGGGTCTTAGAGCAAGGATCTCATACTTAGGCCATATCACGAGAAGACATAGAATCATAGAATCATAGAATCATAGAGTTGGAAGAGACC